TTTTTGAGTAAATTTATATTATCACTTGTGTATATATAGGGAGGTTAAGAGCTTAAAAAAGTTTAGATTTTTTAAGATTAAAACTTCATGCTTATCATGATTATTAATAAATGGCTATTATATCATGATTATAACTATGGCTCCATAATCATTCTTATTTTGCATTTTTAATTGCTTTTCAATATTTTCTCAGAAAATTACTTCGTGAAATAATTTTACTACACTGTTTTTTTTTTTTGCACATGCACAGTTTTTTCAGTAAAAGGGGGAAAATTGTTCTGTGGCAAAATCTGTCGTAAGATGAGGCATTTAACCAGTATCCTGCAATCAAGTTCTTGCTCTCTAAATCAAAAAATTGTAAGAGCAGTTACTATTTTGTTTATTCAACTTTAAATTGCATTTTGTTTTGACTGTAAGACTTTGAAACTCGAAATTACAAAGATATGTATAAAAAATGTTCAAGGCATTTAATGAAATAAATAAATGTAAAACTTTATTATTAGTTTGTTAATAAAAGTTCTTGTTAATCTTGAAAATATATTTTCAAGGAAAGATTTGTGGCAATAATTTTCAGTAAAAAAGATCATTTACAATATATTTATAGATAATATTTAATCTAGGCGTGATATTTTTTAAAATGATTTTGGAAAATGTATAGGGTAACTAAAATGAGAATATAACACTCACTTTCTTTTTTTCAAAAAGCGAATTTCACTTGTAGTTCAATAAAGTCTATAAAATAAAAATGATTTTCAGAGGATTTCATAGTGAGTGATGATGATGAATGGCAATTAGAACCGACAAAGAGAAGAAGGCGCAAGCGTCAGAGAGGAGGAAATGATTCTGGAAGTGACTGGGAAGTCGATCACAAGAAACCAAAAAAAGTCTCCTCCCTCCATAAAGTCTGGTCTGGCAGTGAGTCTGGTAGTGAAAGCCCAAAGAAAAAGGTTACTTATCTTTTACTACTATATTCACGGATATCAGAGTCCATTATGTTTAATGTGTAAATTAAACTAAAGAAGAAGAAAAAAATATTTTTTTTGTTGCTAAATAGCAATATTTTTTCTTTAATTTATTAATAATTAAGTACAAACATAATGAATGATTCAACAGTGAAAAAAAAGTTTAAAAGTTTTTATGCTAACCAGGGTTGGCAGGTTTTTGGCATGTGACAGTTTTTGACAGTTTAAACCATGGTTTAAACCGTCACGTCAAAAACCTCACTGTCAAAAATGTCGAAAATGTCAAAAACCTATATTCATATGTGAAATTTAATTAATACATAAAATTTATATATTTTTTAAAGGATAGTGTTTCTAAATATGTTCTAGAAAAAATAAATTTAAAATTTTGAAGAAACACTTATATTTTGAATAGTAACCAAAATCTTGTACTTTTGAAAGCTCACATCTTTTGTAATATTATGTATT